CACACTCGCCCACGAGCCAATCTGGTAGAGGTGTTTTCTCAAAGAAGGGACCCTCTTACTTACTAGCCCCAGCCTATGCCAAGTTAAAAAACCAAACACAACTGGAATCTATACTTCACAAAAATGTTAAGGGTATGAGTGCAGATGGATGGATAGATGGGCCACAGGTATATAGGTAGGCAGGCAAGTGGGTAAAAGGTAGATAGGTAATCTTCCCGTTTAAAAAAATTAGCCCACAGAGAGTCATAAGTGGAAAGCATGGATATATTTGACTTGTCTTTAAAAAGACAAATATATATCCATGACAAAACAGATCAAGTAAGGAGTTTTGTTGGAAAATGAGCAGCCATTAAGTAGTACCATGCAGGTGCAGCTCCAGAAAGAAGAGCTCTTTGACCAACATAGTCAAAGGATTGGGATCACAAAGATTCCACAGAGCTCCCTCTCTCTCTGATATAGCCCTCAACACACACGCATGCACACACACGCATGCACACATACACACACATGCATACACATGCACGCGTGCGCGCGCACACACACACACAGAACCTATTCAGTCTACATCCCAACAACTCTGGGTCCATTTTCCACTTCCATGAATAGACACTCAGGCTAGCTCACCGTTGTCACATCCCTGCGGTCAACTTCCTACTCAGAGCGTCTGAAACAGCTCCTGAGACCGACTCAGCCTAGTCGTCACCAGCAAGAAGGACCTCACCAGCTGTGACCTTTTGACCATAGCCTCCAGAACCATGAGCTGAATAAATTTTCATTCTTGATAAATTAGTCACCACTTATAAAGCCTTTGTAAACTTCTGCATTCTTCATGGCCACAGAAGGCGTACTAGGATGCACGGGCTAGATGCGCAGGACTGGCTGCTATGGGCGGGGTGCCCCTGGCCTACATGGTGTTAGCTGTACCATCTCTAAGCATATGGCCTCCTGGCCTAGGAGTCACCACGAAGTGAATAAAATGAAAACAAATTTCTCACCATTCAATAAGAAATGGTTAAAAATAAAAGAAGAAAGAAGACTGATTCATTGTTCATAGTTTAAAATAAGTAAGATAATAATTTTCTTCTAGATCACTCTATAAGAAACATGTTGGGACATAATACCACAAAAGTTTAAGACAATCCTGGTGGAGAAAAATCCTGAACAGGATGTCACAGAGAAACACTTGGTCCACCTGACTTCTCTTCAACAGTAAGATGCATCCTTCACACCAAACAAAGCAAGAAAGAATACAGATTTAGGTTTAAAGTCAGGAACTTGTAGATAGCGAGGCCTGTTGGAGGAGGGGCTAGTTCAGCCAAGCTTTGCAGATTATAACCCACACAGGCAGCCTGGGTAGCCAGCGCTCCCTAGCTCCAGGTTCTCACAGCACTCGAAGAAAGTCAGGGTTCAGAGGATCTTCCCGCAGGAGCAAGGGCCAAGAGCAGTAGAAATGGCCACATAAAATGTATGAGCTGTTCCTCTTTCTCCTGGGCTTCTTCTTCATGGTCAGTTGGCTGTAAGAAGCTGAGAACCCCATGAAAACTGCCCCTCTCTCCACCACAGGGGCTTGGTGCCCCGGGAGACCTTCCACCACACAATGGCCTCATGGGAGGGAAAGGTTGCTAATTTCATAGTCTCATTTTTGGAGGTCAGAAGCAACTAGAAAATAAGAACAAGAATAAAACAGGAAGACAGAGAGGGCAAGAGGGAAGCAAGAAGTGGTATTTCAGGCTACCCTCAAACTGAATCCCCATCTAGCCATAAGGGCCTTTCCAGGCCTTCCTCAAAGTCCCCCCAAATTCAGCCTCGGGAAACCCAAACACGCTTAGGAGCTACATCAAATCTCTGACTCAAATGCAAATGTCTTTATGAAGCCCAGGATTATGTATAGTGAACACACAACGATTTAAGTAAAGACAATGCAAAACCAAATGTTCTTCAGCTTAAAAGAAACTTTAGAAAGCCTGGGACGCATGAAGGAAGGCAAAACATCAGAAATTGTAAATATTGAGGGCGGGGAGCCACTCTGGAGATCTTTCTGCCCCGTGAAGGATAAGGAGCTTGCTCCCCTCAACAGGACACCCCGTAAGAGAAGTCAGACCCAGTGCCCTCTAATCCCTGCCTCTTCTCCATGCCCCCTCCTCTCAGGAACCAAGGCTCCCCAAGTTCCCAAACAGTCTCCCCCAAACTCCGCCAGGGCCTGGCAGCCGCCAGGACCACACTGCTCGTTTGTTTGTGCCAGGTCATCTTATCTCAAGGCTAAAGGATCACAGACAATGAGATGACATCGACACTAGTGAAAAACCAGCAACAATCACACCTACTGTTGGGCTATTTTCAGATACCGATAGGGGAAGGTAGAAACAGACACTATATTCTTTACTTCCTGGGAAAACATCCATGGCCTCACCTAACACTTCACAGCAGTGGAAAGTTCCACGCCAAGCTGCTTTCCACTGTCCGAGATGTATTTTAAACTTATTTTAGAAACTGGCTTAATTTAAATTGTCATCAAAGAATTCCTGGGTAAAAATAATGGTGTTGGGTGCAGAAATCACCCTTCATAAGTATCTGACACATGAATTCAGATTTGGGGACATCTACGTCTCTGGGAGAGTTGAAGCCTTAGGGAGGTAACTAAGCGTTTTCTGCTGCCCCTTCTGTTGCTTGTGTGATGTTACAGAGGTGCACAGCAAGCAAGACCATCTCATCATACAGTCACATCATCAAGAGCAGAGAAGGGACAACTGTGGCTCCCAGTTACACTCTGAAAGAGGCCCTTGGGAAACAGCGAAGGGGCAGCCTTTAAGTCCCGCCTCTGAGCTTTAGGCTTCAGGTGGTCACCTCTCCCCTTCTGTCCCCTGCACCTAAAGGCAGGAGGGGCTCCTGGGAGTTTCTAATCTCGGGCTTACATCACACATTTGTATATTTTTCAGGGTGTCAACATCCACATAGACAAATTCTAGTACGAATTTCAGTACGAAGCCTCTTTTCTATGGGATGCGGAGTGTGGCTGCTCTGCTCTGATGGAACCTGACTTAGACTCACCTTAGCCCTCAGTGTGTCTGCATCTGTTACACACAGTAGCTGTGCTCCCAAAATATCACAGGTTACTCTGCCAAAGACGCCACTCGGACAGTCACAGAAGGATAAACAAAGCAGAAGGAAACAGCAGTAAAACAGCTGGACAGGCAGGAATGCCAACGCTGGGCCACTGAAACGTGGAACCAAGTTCTTAACCCAAATTCACTCACGCAGTGAATGCTTAACAGATGGCCAGTGAGACAGCTGAGTGGTTAAACGGGCTCATGGCTCAGGTCATGCCTAAGCAGGAAAAAGAGATACTGGACTGGAGAGACAGCTCAGTGGGATAAAGGCATTTGCCACCAAGCCTGCCACCTGAGTTTCATCTACTGAACCCACACAGTGGAGAGAATCAATCGCTCAGCGTTGTCCTCTGACCTCCACACATGCACACTGGGACACAGTGCACAGCCACACCCCCTCCTATGAAACAAATACAGCGAATATGTGGAAAATTTTAAATACAGGCCAGGCATAGTGACACAGGCCTTTGATTCCAGCACCCGGAAGGCAAAGTTCAGTGGATTTGAGTCTAGCAATATTCTACACACTGAGTTCTAGGCCAGACAGGCTGACACAGTGAAAGTATGTCTCAAAAACAAACTAAAAAATAGAAAAACTACTTTTCTTTGGTTTGGGATTTCTGCATAGATTTGTATTGTATCTATACAGGCGTTCAATACATTGTTTAGACAGACAGATAAATTTCTACAGTCAGACTAGTATCTATTACCTCAGGACACAGTTAAAATATACTTTTTTTTCTTTGCAAATTTCCATTATACAGCATACAGGTACAAAAGATTGTCTGTGTTTGAGTATGGGCATGTGGGGGGTACTTGTGAGGGTGGGTGAGTGTGTAGTGTGTGTGAGAGAGAGTGAGTGAGTGTGTATGTATGTGTGAGTGTGAGTTTGTGTAACATGTGTGTGACCATGTGTACAGACGGGCAGGGCTGGTTGTGTGTGTGTGTGTGTGTAACATGTGTGTGACCATGTATACAGACGGGCAGTGCTGGTTGTGAGTGTGTGTGTGTAACATGTGTGTGACCATGTGTACAGACGGGCAGGGCTGGTTGTCCTCCTCTACCGTTCTCATTCTCTCACTGAACCTGGAGCTCACCAGTGCAGCTGGACTGTCTGAGATCCACCCCCATTACCTCCACCCCAGATTATATAGCACACTGCCACACCCAACTTTTATGTGGGAGCTGGGGATCTGAACTTAGGTCCTCACGCTTGTGCAGCGGCACTTTAGCCACTGTGTCACCCCCCCCCCCAACATCATTATATTCTAAGACCCAAAGACTCACTCCTGGCCTGTCTTCCTCCACCCTCTCCCTCTCTGCCAACCAGAGAGCCCTGGCAGTTCTCTCGGCTACGGCTGTAGTTCCACCTCTTCACACGTTTCACCTCCACTGCGGGGGCCTGTAGCTCACCTGTCACCTGTCCCTCAGCAGACAGTACTCCCCACCCCACCCCCAATCCCTGAAGCTGGGATAATTATGCATTAGCATGGAAATACAACGAATCAATAAACTGTCTCCAGCCACACACAAATTAGTAACAAGTAGATTAGACCGCTGGGGAGATCACTGTCCCTGGGTCTCAGGTTTCTGGTCCTTTTATTCTAGACCATTCAGGGACATTTATATAACAAATAGGCTTAGAATATCAGTGTCTCTCCCCAAAGGAATGCACACACAGGTTTGCTGACTATCCAATATAGCTGACAATGTTTCCCTTGGTGGCAAAGGTCAGGTAAGCTTACAGCCCACTATAAACATCCAGATCCTAGGCTCAGGCTTCCGAGCCTCCCACACAATCCACCTGGGGCTCAGCTCACTGGGGCCTCTGAGCACTGAGGATCAGGAGCAGCAGAAAGCGGTGCTGCTCAGGGGAGTGATAAATCCATTTACCTCTGAGCTGGAAGTCCTGGGCCTCTTGTCCGCATTCATGACACTCACAAGGAGGGCAAAATCTCAGAGTTAGTTCTTGACTAACTGTGCAAAATAAACCATAGACCCTAGAGGATTAAAGAAACAACCATCTTATAACTTGGAATCAGGAAAGAACTGTTGAACAGAATAGGTAAAAACACAACACAGAACAGGAAATTCTGACAGACTTGGCCATATTAAAATTAACTTCAATGGATCAGTGGAGTCCATTCAACAAGGGAAAGAATGAGGCTAGAGAGAGGGGTCAACAATGTTTTCACATAAGCACTAGGGTCTGAGTTTGATCCCCAGCATGCACATAAAGCCAGGTTATGGTGGCAAATACCTGTAACCACAAACCTGGGGAAGCAGAGACAGGAGGATCCCTGGGGCTTGCTGGTCAACTAGTCTAGACAAGTCAGCAAGCTGCAGGTTCAGTGAGGGACCTCATCCCAAAAAATAAGATTGGGAGTCTTTGGGGAGGACACCCAACATCAATCTCCACCCTCCATCCCCCCCACACGTTCACACACAACACAAATATGTACACATATGCACATACAAGAAGGTATTTGCAATAAACAACATGTTGCAAGACATAATGACAAATGCATGCCCATAATAACCACGTAGCTTGTAAGTCAAAAAAAGAGAGGATAATTATATAGAAGAATTCGCAGAGGAGCTAAGTGTGCCCCACAGTAACAGAAATCAAAGTGCACACCAAAGTGCAAAAGAAGCAAGGACACAGCTCTCAACATCACTCAAAAAAAAAAAATCAAAGAAATGCAAATTGAAATTTTCATGGAAAGCCATTTCTGCAAACTGTGCAATGCATGCTACATGACACAACTGTTCAACTCCTAGGTTCATGTCCCTAGGGGACAGTAGGAGACTGTCCATTGCAGCTGCATTTGTAACGTCAAAACCCTAAAAGCAGCCCAGAAGTCTAACTACAGGGGAATGGACGAGTAAAGCTCAGGATGGTTATGAGCTCCTCCCAAGGTGGCAGCAACAGGGCATGGGGTGTATCACGTGCCCCTTGATGGCAGGGTACCATTCCCAGGGGAAACATGGGAAAAGGAGCCACCTGACAGGGAACCTTGGTGATGTGTGTGCCCTTGTCTTCCCTTCTGGAACCCCCTTCTGCCCCAGCCCGTCAGGCCACCTGAATCTCTATAAACCCCATGATGCAGCCTGTTTCAGAGTACAGCTCTTGGCCAGCAGCTATGGTTGGCCAGTGCCTAGTTCTTCAGAAGCAGAGCTGCACACAGAGCTATGCCTGTCTTCAGTGGGCCCTCTAGACCTACCGTAGGAGGAAGGTCTGCCCCAGCTCAGCACCAGGACCAATGCTCCTGACACTCACTCTGGTGACCTGCTCTCCCTAGACTCCTTCGGAGCCTGCTCATGGTAACACCCCACCACACCAAGAGCCCAGAATGGCAACACCAATGAACAACATCTCTCAATTCACATCCCAAGGGCTGCACAGAGTTTTAACAACGTAGTACTTGCCATAATTGCTCTCATCTGGTACCAGGCTTGAGCGCTAAGAACTCTAACACCTGCTGGCAAGCCCAGTCTAGGTGGCCTCCCAAAGCACAGGGTAAGTCAGCTGGCATCCCGAAGGTTGCTCAGGGTTTAGAGCTGTAACACTTCCAAGTGCTGCTCCTGCCCCCTGCACGGCATCCTGCCAGCCACCAAGAGTTTGGATGTCTGCTTCTCCATTCAATCTGCCACAGTGTAAATAAAAGTCCTCAGTTTCCCCCCATCTGTCCACTTCGTTCTCTGGTGAAAGAGAAGAAGCCAACGGGGAACCCAGCTGCGTCAGTCACAGCAATTCTGCACTGCGATGAAGAAACCACAGCTTCACAGAACACCGCATCAACCTTAAAACGTTGAGTTTCAATGGAAAGTCTAAAACCCAAGTGATACAACGTGGCCATGGTTTTGCTAAGTTTCGGAGGAGACAAAGTAGCCCCTGGTATTCAGGAACGCTATGGTGGCTCACATATTTGCATGCTTGGCTCCCAGTTAGTGGAACTCTTTGGGAAAGATTATGTGTGGCCTTGTTGGAGGAGGTCTGTCACCGGTGGTCTGCTTCCAGGTTTCAAAAGCCCATGGTATTTCTAATGACTTCTGTCTCTGCCTCATGCTTGTGGATCAGATGGAAGCTCTCAGCGACTGTTCCAGCGCCATGCCTGCCTGCCTCCCACCATGCTGCTTGCCATGATGATCATGGACTCTAACTCTCTAGAACCATCAGCCCCCATTAAATAATTTCTTTCATAAGCTGCCTTGGTAATGGTATTTTGTCAGGGCAATAGAAAAGCTAACTACAACAAATGTGTTGTGGAATATTATTTTAACTATGTAAAGACGTGTTACGTGTTTACGCTGCTAAATATTTAACTGTATAAAGGTGTGTTACATTTGTTTATGCTGCATTTGTTTAACAATATAAGGAGGTGTGTTTAATTATGTAAAAATGTGTTACATTTGTTTCACCTTGCCTCCCTCCCCAAGGCACCTGATTGGCCTAATAAAAAGCCAAACAGCCAATAGCTAGGCAGGAGAAGGATAGGAAAGGCTGGCAGACAGAGAGAATAAGTAGAAGGAGAAATCTAGGCAAAGTAAAAAGAGGAAGAAGAAGGTGAGGAGAGAAGGAGAAAGAAAGGACACACCTGGGGCAAGAAGCCACCACAAGCTTCTCACATGATAAGCAGTGAAAGTAAGATTAAGATTTACAGAAGGAAGGAAGAGTAAAAAGCCCCAAGGCAAAAGGTAGATAAAGATAAACAGGTTAATTTAAGTTAAAGGAGTGAGCCAGAAACGTGCCTTAAGCTAGGCTAAGCATTCATAACTAAGTCTCCATGTCATGAGTTGGGAACTGGTGGCCCAAAAGGAAAAGCCTGGCACACAAACGCTTAAGTTCTAAAATATAAATAAAATTAATATGTCATTGTCATGCAAGGTAAGGGAGGAGAGGAGGCACAACCACGAAGACCACTAAGGGGGGTGAAGGGACTGGAGACATCGCGTGTCCTCAACGGGGATACACTAGCATTTGCTTCCTAATAATCTACAGATGTGCTGTGTGCTCCTAAACACTGTACAAGAGAGAAAAATCAGACTCAAGAAATGCCTGAGGCAGGAGGATCACTTTGGGTCACAAAATACTACTAGCAAGGCAGAGTCCCTCACCAGAGCTTACCACCCTGACCTGGACTCCCACACTGGGTCACCAGCCACCCGTTTACCTACTTTTTCATCTGTACATAAGTGAACATGACTGAGTAGTGACATTAGGGCCGGGAAGCTGTCCTTAGCAGAGCCGTTAACTGCTGAGATGGGCATGCGCCCTTCAAGATCATACCTTTCTGCATAAAATGAACATGGTTCAACTGAAACCAAGCTAATGCAGCAGGGCTTTGCCAGTGTATGCGAACACTAGAAACGCCCATTTAGCTGAGCAAAAACATTGTCCACGGCATTAACTCCAAATTAATTATTTGGAATTTCATTTGTATTTAACTTTAAACAATTTGGAGTTTATAATTGTTGTAGAGCTGTGATTACAGTTAGCACTTTGTGTTCATGCACGTTTGACTAGCACAACAAAACTAAATTCAAATTAACACAAGCAGTCTCTGAGAAAGGGGTTGAGAAGGCTCCGGAGGAATCAGCGCCCACTCCTGCCCCTCCCGCTTCTCTTTCTTCAAGAACAAGCCCACAGCTTGCCTCTCAAGCAGGTACTTTCGAGCACAATTTATGCCAACTCCTGGAGGTGATCAAAGCTGGGGACCACATAAGACAGAAAGGGAAGATCTGGGTCTGGGGACAGTCCTTGAAATGCAAATGGCTGCGACCCAGAGCTCAGGCTGGGTCAGCACTGGGGCACAGAAGCACCCAGTTCCTTGTCCCCAGGGGCTGCTAAAATGAGTCGCTAGAGACTCCTGGCTGGAATCAGCACGAAATAGCTTTCCTATTTCAGAGATGAATCTAGACGTTATCACGGTTGTTCCTTCTGGAGCGCCACAGGAGGCTGTCATGAGTGTGCTGCTCCAGAAACGGAGGGATCCCGTTTGTTTTCCCAAACTGCCAGAGGTTCTCGGTTAACAATATACATTACAAGGTACAGTGGACTTGAATGGCAGTGCTTGACCACGTATCCCGCTGTCCTTGATAGCGCTGGTCAAGGAAAACACAGGCCCTTTGATCCAGCCTTAATCACTAGTGTCATATCTTACAAAGCACACCCTATCTCTATCTCTCTGTACACGTCTGTGAATGTGCTGGATTAAGGGGCCACAGAGGAGTTCATGAGGTTTTCACGGGTTTGAGAGCAAAGCTGTAGACATGAGTCTTGATGGCGAAAAGGCAAGCCTGGGTCCAGACGGCTGAATAGGCAGACAGACAGACAGACAGACAGACAGACAGACAGCAGGCCCAGATGGGCAAAGAAGACAGGCAAAGAATTTGAGGAAGCCTTATTATCAGTCAAGCCTAAGCCCCGCGCTCGCTCTCGCTCTCTCTCGCTTGCTCTCTCTCTCTCTCTCTCTCTCTCTCTCTCTCTCTCTCTCTCTCTTTCTCTCTCTATCTCTCTCTTGCGCGCAAGCGCGCTCGGACCTTGGGGGACCATGCCAGAGAAGTCCGGCTTCTGACAGCTATGATTCGAGATGGGCCCAAGACTTAGCTGAAACATCAAGAACCCCCAGCCAAAGCACAGCTCATACGAATTGATCAAGGTTGTACAGTCACTGTGATCGGTGCCCACACCAAAGGGGAATACTGTTTTTAAAAAGCATCTTATTTTTTAAGGAGGACAAGAATTCAATTAATCAGGTTTATTAAAAATGTTTTTCAGTTGTTTTCTGTGTTTTGGGTTTCTTGAGACAAGGTTTCTCTGTGTAACAGCTCTGACTGTCCTAGAACTCACTTTGGGGACAGATTGGCCTTGAAACTCAGTGACCCGCCCGCCTCTGCCTCTCCGGAGTGCTGGGATTAAAACGTGCACCACCACTGTGCAGCTAGCTTTTTAGTTTTTATAAGACTGGTTTAGGGAGACTCTGCACGAATCCCACCA